CCCCCCCCCCCCCCCCCAGTGGGTCGAGAGAGAAAGAAGAGACAGGGACAAGAACCAGGGGTGTCGGAAGGGAGAGCACCAAAAGCAGGCTGATATGGGGGAGGAAAGAGGAAAAATACATCAAGGAGAGTGCCCGGGGAAAAGCTCCTCGTTGTTATCAACTCGTTGCATGTTGGATTCAACAACAGAAAGAGGCCAGAGGGGAGGGAAGAAAGACAAAAAATATGTTGTTAAAAACAATTTCACAGGGGTTCTCCAACCGACGGACGTCCGGTGAGGAAGCTGTCCATGTCCTAGGTCTTGCAAGACCAGGATGGACAGCAGTTGAAGTCGCCGTGTGTCTGGCCCATGAACAGAAAGGATGCATACGTGTATCGCCAAGAAAGACACCCGTCTCAGATCCCTCCCCGCGGAGGACTCCCCACCCCCCCGCCCAATCTACCCCCACCACCGAATCCGAGCCCCCAATGCCGCATCCCATACGAAGACCCCCACGCACGGGGTTACGAGTCCCCTAAACAATTCCGACACCACGTGCCAAGCTGACGATAATCTATGGCATGACACTTTCGACATCCCTCGGCAACGGATTTTTTTCCGTGCATGCCAAAAATCGCACACCACCTACACCACCTCCTCCGCCCAAAAGCATCACAACAATGCCACCAACAACATCACCGACCCCGACACCGCCAACAGCACCAACAACAACAGCACACAAACGATGCTTACCGGAGTCTGGGGCGGCGACGTCCGGTCTCGGTTGCGCCTGCAAAACCCGGTGTCGGCGCACTTGCGAAACTTCTTCTGGTCGACGGCCGCTGCCCCGAGGGGACCCCCCCGCCCGGCAAGGGGCCCCGTGAGTGGGGGGGTGTTGAAGGCCACCAAGGACAGGGCGAGGGACGAGGCGAGTCCCCTCCTGACGGGAGTCATCCTGATGCCGCGGGGCCGCTTCTGTGTGATGCCACCGGCAACAATTGGGTGTTGTTGTTGCTGCTGTTGGTCGTTGTTGTTGTTGTTTGTTACGAAAACACAACAAATTCGTCTCTTCCGCAGATAGAGGACGTTGCAAATGACTCCACAGTGTGATGAACACGTTACCAAAAAAAAAGAATTACCACAGCAGTGTCAAGAAACAGTAGTATGAAGGGGGATTCAATACTACAGTGTACAAAGGACCCATTCCACCAGCAGACCAGTAGCATTTCAACGTTCGTCAGAGCATGTACACAACAACAGAGCACGACTACTGCTTTCGAGATAGTGCTCCGACCGGGGGTGTCGGGAGTCTCCACAGCAGTCAGGGGTATAGAGAGAGGCAAACCTTGTGGGTTGTTGTTGACACGGAAACTGTGACTGCTGTAACGTCCCGCGCGAATGAAATCGTACCGCCGGTCCGCAAGTGCACCCGGATTGCATACCTACAAAGTGTAATTTTCTCGTTGCAGGATATGAACGGCGGTGTTTGTTTGGTTTCCTTGTGTTCGCCCTTGAAAAGCCCTCCTTAAGCCATACGCGCCCAGTAGAGGCGGTGCTGTTGGATACAGCAAGGACGAAGAGAATCTGTGTTCATCGTGCCTCTCAGAAAGCATCTTGTTGGTGGTGTTTCAAGGGGTCTGGCGCTCCCTTCCTTGAACGGATGCACTTCGTGCAGTTGGCATATCATCGTGTAAATCACTGCGATATCCCAACCAATGCAAGGGCATCATTTTGGTACGGTGCAACACGTGCAGCGGTACGCTAGAAGATGTCGGCTAATGCGAGGTTATATACAAACTCGATGTGTGTGATGATGACATACCTTCAAGATGCGACGGGGAAAGAGCGCCGGCGTCCGGCGACGCGCAGATTCAACGCTGGCCGGGATCGGACAGCCAGAGCCCACTCGTTCCCGCTTCGAAAGCAGGAAGATCAATAGCAAAGGGCAATGCGTGGCGACTCCACAACAAGCGAACTCTCCGCGCTGTTTTTGAACGAGAGAAGGAGGGAGCGTGAGCGAGCGGCGGTACGGATGGGGGTCCGCAGAACATATCGGGTCTCCAAAGTTCCGCATTGGCGTGTTCTTACCCAGAAAAAATAAAAAAACAGCGACGAGCAGCAGAGAGGCAGCGCGCTCACTTGCTCTTACTGATAGAGCTGAGTGTTAGAGCGGTCTGCTGACGGTCGAGCGCCGAAAGCATATCGCGCCCCCCCGTAGCAAGCGTCTGTGTAAGGGGACCGTACTGTGGTTGCCTTGCATCGCCAAGAGTAACCTGCGAAAAGCCGGCGCATGAATCCCTATGCGGCTAATTTCCAAGTTGCTGCTGCTGCGGAGAGCAGCAGCAACAGGAGCACAGCCGTTGCTGCGGGCAACGTGGGGCCAGCCGGCGAGGGGGAAGAGGCCGGGTGGGGTGTCGACGAAGACGACCAGAACGGAGACGGAGCTGGCGGCTACTGGGACGAGCACGGCCAGCACCACCACGGGTACGGCGCAGAGTACGACCCGACAGCAGCAGCATATCATCTGGGGGCAGGCTACGATGCAGCAGCAGCAGCAGCGGGGTATCATCGTGCGGTACGATCGGATCATGCTATGCATACAACAACAACATGCTCTCGCTGCTGGATGCCATGCACCGCCTCTATTCTTGCCTGCACCAGCAGTTCCACCTTCTCCGTGTACCACACCCCAGGGAGCAGTACGCAGAAGAGTCCCAACCGATCCCATGGCTCATTCTGCACAATGTGGTTGTTGGCATCAAAAGACTTCGAGTGTTGCACCTGTGTCTTATTTAGGAAGTACTTGTAGTTTTATAAAGCCTTCAACGGCCGGCTGGACCGTCATGTATTTGCGTGTGGTCCCGAAGAGGTTGGCGGTGACCGTGTTTCTGTGTGTCAACAGAGGAAGCAAGCGGCTGTTGTATGTATGGTCGGACTGTACTATCACTCCGGCGGGTGCGCCAAGCGAAGCAATGTCAGGTTACATATTGCACCTCGAGACTAAATGCAAGTGTGACACACACGGCAGGCGGCTCACAGAAAGGCATCAGTGCAAGGTATATACATAAGGATGCAAAGCAGCAGCAATGGATACTTGTAGGCCCAGAACGGTTTTTGGCTTTTTGTGTGAATACAACAACAACAACAACAACAACAACAACAACAGCAACAACAACGCGCACCCACGCTACGTTCCCCGAAAATTCCCCACGACGGTTGGATCGGCAATCCGTATTCCCCCCCCCCCCCCCCCC